GTATTTTTATATTTCTAAGAATTGGCAGTGTATTGAAGGGAATTCATGCCTTGCTGGTGGACTATTGCAATTTGTGGTCCACAGTTCTTGTCCAGACTGTGCATTATGTCCTCTGGTCAAGGCCTCATCCTTGTGAGAGTCTCATGATGCCCCCTCCACATTTTCTTTTCATCACTTTCTTTACATTGGCAGGTCTCTGGGTACATTTCTTGTTTAAGTTGCTGGTGCCAACCTCTGGGCTGGGCATGCAGGAACAATAAGCTGTTGGAATCATGTGATGTACCTGGGTGCTTGGCTTGGTCATGTAAGCAGGGTCACTAGCCCGCTCTTGTACTAGAAAGGCCATCTCAGGTTTCAGAGCTTTCTGCTATCTTGTACCTACTGTTTGATTCCCCCTAGATTTACATTTGGGGTCCCATCTCCTGAGGCTTAAAAAGACCTTCCTCCTCCTCCTCTTTCCAGGATCTGTATGCAGCTGGGAGAACTTTTATATGCAAGATTTTATATGGATTTAAATTAAATAAATTAAATTAAATTATGGTAGTGTTGGATTAGAAAATATTTACATTGATTGTTATATTGCTATCTTGTTGATACCAGTCTGTGTGTTGGCCAAACTATGGATTGGCCCAGTCAAACATTGGGATCATTTCACCTGGTGCGAAAAGCCAAAAATCACACCCAAGTGGGGAAATTGCAACCTGTTTATTCTGTATAGCAATAAAGAGGCACTCTTAGGACCCAAGTCACAAACCGAGAGCCCCCCTAAGTAAATTAGCATAGCCTTTATACACTTGTGAAAACAAAAGCACATGATCATTAGCAAGCGATGGGCAATCAGTAAATTATTCACACCCCAGTTGGTCAGAGCCCCCCAAGAGGTGGGCTCCTTGCTAAATATTGCAGCCTCTTCCCTTCTATCTTTCCCTAGCTGATAAGACTAGTGTGTAAAACTTCTAGCTAATTTATCTCCAAGAAGAAAAGGAAGTTGGCTTTGAATCTACTGTTGCTCTGGGTTAAGATGGTAGAGGCTCTCAGCAATGGCAACCACATGATTGTTTCAGGAATTTGCAGTGCAGGGTGAAGGGGCCCGAAGGGGAGTAACCAAGAACAAAGATGGACAAAATGGGTTTTCTCTAGCTCAAGCCAGCTGGACCAGCCCATCATGTGTTTTATTTTAATGCTGTGCTTGGACTGCACTTAGATATAAGTGCAAATCACCGGTAAATCACAGTAAGTGATTCTAATTGTTGATGAGTTGGGAGTGCTGTTTAGGGTGCCAGGATTTTTTTGAGGTGTGTGTGTGTGGGGGGGGGGAATGCTGATTTTTATTGTCTTTCTTGGTTTTTATTATTGTTTTGTGAGCCACCCAGAGCTGTGACACATAAGATAGGCGGCAATACAAGCCTTTAAAATAAATAAAATAAAATAAAATTAAATTAAATTAAATTAAAGAATACTGCTATTCTTAATTTACTACTACTACTACTTACATTGAGCTCAAGGTAGATTCATCTGTTGTATTTACAGGGCTTGTCCACGCATCCCAGCTGGCCCCCATGCAAAGACACCCTATTAACAATTGGTTGAGGATAGAAATGAATGATGTCACCCTCAACTAGCCCCAATCCCACCACAGGGGCACCTCTAATCTTTTCTTGCTCTATGTCAAAATGGTGTTTTCTGACTTTGCTGGAACAAGGAGTGCTATGCAATGTGCCTGTGGCACTTCATTTTTGTATAGGTGATTCTTCTACTCCATCTGGTTGGCACACCCTGTTGTGGGATACCTGCTCCCCTCCAGTCACTGATCCCTGCCTTCCATGGCTTGGTCATCTTGGGCTGCTAGTCTACCTGACTGCCTTCAGAAGAAATCTGTCCAGGTTAATCCTGACTGCACTTTTCTTTGCAAGGCACATCTCAGGTCGTACATGGTCTCCTTATATACAGTACCTTGAAAAGGCCAGTATTTGGGAACATCTGTGCAGCAGTTCTTATATGAGCAAGGCAGAATTTTCTCAGTTTGACCCTCAGGTCTAAAATATGCTAACTTCATAAGCATTTCAGAGAAACTCTGGCACTGCTTACTACAATTATGTGGGATATTCCCCTGTAGGCCAACAAATAAGGAAAAGCAGGTACAAGCAGCTATCACCTGCTCACACTTGCTGTAATTTTTGAACTATTTGGCAATACACCCACGTCATTCCCATACAAGAAGCAGTGAATACCAAGGAAAGTCAATGTTGGACCTATCCTTTAATTCTTTTCATCCCTTTATCTCTTAAAGTCACTTGAGAGGTTCCCCAACATTCTGTCTCTGTAAATCTTCTACCACAATTTCCCCCCAAAAAGTTTGCTTTGGGCCATACTGGTGTCAGTCTGTGGACCTCTGCCTAAAATTAGAACTAATTGCTTCTCCAAGCAGGATTCTCCCAGATTCTTCAGCCAGATTTGTTAAGGAAAAAGGGGTGGGGTGACAAGAATTCCACTCACAAAATGATTTCCCAGAATACATAACCTGGTGTATGTTAGAGTGCAGCTTTCCTCATTTTCTGGGAATTGATGAGTTTTTTCATTGACAACAAAGGAGTTGGAGGTGTTTATAAACATCTGAATCTTGACCAGTTTGGGAACCCACCAATACTACATTCCAAATGTTGCCTTTGCCCTGGAGATGTGAAGGATTTTTGTGTGTAATAGCCTCATGACACATATTTTCTCATTCTGATGAATTTTCAAATTCAGCATTTGATTCTGAAGACAAGGGGATAAGTGATATCCCATGTATTATGACATCATAAAGCAGTAAATTCCGTCAATCAGATCATTTGTGTGATGATGTTGTCAGAAGGATCAAACCCCTTCTTTTCTCTGTTCGTTCCCAAGCTTGGAATTTAATAAAACACACCAGACGATCAGTGGAGAGTCAGAAATATGTTTATTCAATCCAAAGTAATCAATTAGCTTTGGATGGGCAGGTGCAGTGGACTGCTCTCCCATCTCCTTTTTAATAGGAATTTTTTAGTTTAAGATTTTAGCCAACCATTATCAATGGAATGGAACACATTAGCTTATTAAAACAGTTCCTGCTCTATCAGCATGAACATCTTCCTCCTGGGCAATCTTTCCTTCCTTCCTTCCATATTCTGTTAAAACAGATGTTTCCTTATCTATAGTTAATCACAATGTCTATATCAGTGTTTACATAC